GAAGGGGACTGGGAAGCAGCTTACTGCTACATCAAGGAAGTATATCAAGGGCTCAGTGAACAACTCTTCACCAGGGCACCCTTAGGGAAAACCAGGAGTAACGGCCACAAACTCCTGGAAGACCATTTCAGGCTCAACATTAGGAAAAATTTACTCACAGTTAGGATGTTCAGACTGTGGAATAAGCTCCCTCCAGAGGTGGTGCAATCTCCTACCCTGGAAATCTTCAAGAGGAAACTGGACAGTCATCGTGCTGGGGTCACCTAACCCTACCTGTCATTTTTCCTGTCTGGTGCAAGGGGCTGGACTCAGTGATCTTCTGAGGTCCCTTTCAGCCTTACAATCTATGAATAGGGGATAAATTGCTCTACAGACAATCCAGTTCTGCCACTGTCAGACACAGGATACCAGGTCACAAAACACTTAGACACAGGAGTAGAGGTGGATGTCATTGTCCTGGATTTTAGGAAGGCCTTCGATATGATATCTTATCCCAGTCTCATAAATAAATTAAGAGGCTGTGACTTAGATGTTTGCACAGTCCAGTGGATGGTAAATTGGCTTGGGGGTCACACCCAGAGAGTGGTAGTAGATGGGTTGGTATTGACCTAGAAGGAGGTGGGTAGTGGGCAGGGCTTGGTCCTTGGACCTGTACTCTTCAATGTCTTCATTAGCGACTTGGATGTGGGCATGAAGTGTACTCAATCCAGGTTTGCAGATGATACTAAATTGTGGGGTAAACTGAACAGTCCAGAGGGTAGGAAACAATTACAGGCAGACGTGGACAGGTTGGAAAAGTGATCAGAACACAATAGGATGCAGTACAACAAGGACAAATGCAGAATGCTGCACCTAGGTCGTAAAAATATCCAGCACACCTACTGGTTTGGAAATGACCCCCTCAGCAACACAGAAGCAGACAGGGATCTTGGAGTCATAGTGGACTCCAAGAGGAACATGAGTCATCAGTGTGACGAAATCACCAGCAAAGCTAACCACACTTTATCAAGCATCAGCAGGTACATGACGAATAGAACCAAGGAGGCCTACAAATTCATTAGCAGGGCACAGAAAGGTATCAGAGGTGCTCTGTTCACCAGGGTGTTAGAACAGTACCTGCAGTGCCTTGTTTTTAAACTTCCATCAAGATGACTGGATCACCCTCCTACCCCAGCTGAGCTAGCTTACAGCAATCTGGACCACTTCTTTGCCCAGCACAGCCCCTTTTATGCTAATTATGGCCTCCACCCCTACTTCCATTGTACCCTCTGCCTCACTAACCCCTACAACTGTCAACCTGATGACCCACATGCAGCATATATGAGGACCTGACAAGCTATTTTCAGTAGGCAAGAGAGGCTTACAAGCAGTATGCAGACTAACACCACTTCAAAGTCCCTGTGTTTAAAGTAGGGGACAAGGTATAACCTGCCCAGCACTTGAAAACCAACCATCCCTCCACCAGACTCGATCACTAATACTTTGGACCCTACCCAATCACCACAGTTATCAGCCCAGTGGCCTTCTGCCTGAAGCTTCCTTATTCCATGCAGGTCTATCCTGTGTTCCACATCTCCCTGTTGAAACCATACACTGAGAACCCCTTTCCAGGAGCCTTCACTCCCCCTCCCTCACCTGTGCTTGTCCAGGGGCATGATAAGTTTATAGTCAAGGAGGCCCTTGACATCTGAAGAATGTGGGAAAGACTTTAATATTTAATTGACTAGGAAGGCTGTAGGCCAGCAGACCACTCATGGGAACCTGCAGAGAATGTGCATGCCCCTGACATAGTCTGAGCATTCCATCAGGCCCACCCAGAGAAACCAGGTCCAAAAACACCCAAAGGTTGCCCTAGAAAAGGGATTACTGTACTGAGGCCAAGCCAGAACCATTGACCCAGCAGGTGCCAACCAAGAGATTAGGGCAAGTCATCCCCAGAACAAGCACCACCTTCACCAAGGCCAGAGCAGTGCCCTGGTTCCAGCTGGGCTGAATGAAGCAATCAGGGCAGCCTATCCCCTGAAGTCACAGGCAGCAGGCCCCACTTGCTTTAACCTTTAAAAGCCAGGTCCTGCCCCAGTCTCCTTGTTTGGGCAAAGGTCTTTGGTCTTTGCTCCTAATCACCTATACACTTTTTTCATGGTGGCCTATTGACTCCTGGCTCTGACCCTGGCTTCTGACTCTGTTAAGACCCTTGGCAGTCCTTTATTCTGGTCCCCACTCATGGTCTGGTTTGACCTTCAGCTCTGACTTGTGTTTCTGCTGTGACTCTTGGTTTACCTTGGCTCTGGCTTCAGCTTCTGACCCCAGCTTATTCTAACTTTGGCTGTGGGTTTCCCTGCCCACCCCAGTGTAGCCATGATAATATAGGACATATGCAAGAGGCAAGGCTTTTTGTTGGTGATATCTTTTATTACACCAACTGTATGGTTGGGATAAACTTAGGCAAACTTTCAAATGGAGGGCATTTTTCTTCAGGTGACCTGTATAGTTGAGGTGACCTGTAGAAGAGTGCATTGTGTTCAGAAGGTTGTCTCCTATCTCAAACATTGAACCATGCAGTTGCTTCAGTAAAAGATACCATCCACCCTACCAGGGCTTCTTCAGTCCCCACTAGAGGAAAGAAGGGACAGGGCCCTTAAAGGAGCAGCCAGACAGGCTGGAAGCTGTACCCCTGAGAGCAAAAGGAAGAACCCCAGCAGCAGAAAGGTGAGGGGGGACTAGAAAGCCCTCTGGCTGGGGGAAAGCAAGAGCTCTGTTTGGAATAGGAAGAGAAGAGACCCAGATGAAGTGACTGGAGTAAGCCTGCAGATAATATAGGGAGGTCTAGCAGGCTACAGAGAAGGCAGGCTTGGTACTGATCCTATTCAGAAACTGAAGCAAAATCAGCAGCCTTGTGCCACCGTGGGTCACAGCTTACAATCCAGCCATTACTGTGGAGCAAAAGTCTCTGCTGTTACCAGATTTGCCCGTCACTTTGGGGTATGCTCATTTATTAGGGGTACGTTTCTGGGGTCTCTGTAGTTCTATAAATATGCTGCTTGTATTACTTGTATTTCTGTATGGAGCTGTATCTCTCCCTTTTGCAAGTCCTCACCCCCAATGGAGCCATCTTGCAGGACTCAGTTTCAATGGGGCTAAGTTCCTCCAATCACTGAATCAGATGCACATACACACACAGGTTAACAGGACATGTCTGAGCCAGGCCAGGTTATTCAGCATTGACAGGCTAACATCCTCATATGCCTTGAACTCACTTCCTCAGGGCAACAATAAAATGCAGTCTGACACAAGCACATGGGTTAACAGAGCACATCTGAGTCAGGCTGGGTTATTCAGCATTGACAGGCTGACACCCACATGTGCCTTGAATTTGGTTCATCCCTTATTTCAGAAGGACAGTAATAAATGCAGTTAGAGACACATACTAGCAGAGTACATCTGAGCAGGCTGGGTCTGATCAGCACTTTCAGATGATACCCTCACACGCCTTAAAACTCAACACATCCCAATTTCTTGTCACTATGGTCCTAGTAGTAACTCACTTGATGAGCAGACCTCACCATAGTTTTGGGCATTACAGGGATCTTTGACTTAGGTAAAAGAACAAATGCTGCAAAGCAAATGGGGAGGTCAAGGGGAAGGAAGACTAAGTGAGGTTCAGAGAGAGAGTATAGCAACCAACTTGACCATAAAAGTTATGTATTGCCAAGTATATAAATTTATGATGATACCAGTAGTAATAACCGTACAAGAGAGACAGACAAAACAGTTATAATATTTCATAGTTTCAGTTAGGTATTTGGGGAAGTCTAGATCAAGTTTGATCAGCAAATGTCAGGTTTAGAAAGCTGTGCGTAGAGTAAGAGAGTAAAAGGTTCCTGGAGTGAGAGAGAGAAAGAGTTGGGATCTCACCACTCAGCGAAGCTTGAACCAGTCGAAGTTCCAAGGTGTTTGTTGGAGCTTGCAGACAGGCAGAGCCCTCAGTATGACCAGTGGAGGGATTCCAGGCAGAAAAGGAGTGAAACTGGTGCAGCTTTTGGATGCAAGCACCAGGACAAAAACTTGAGTTTGGGTAGGAGTTTTTGTAGACAACTAACAATGCCTTAAAGGAAGAACACTAGGCTTGTTTATGGGTAACACTGCCTGTCCCCACCTATGAGTGGCTGGCTAAAAAATTCCCAATCCCTCTGCAGTAAGCATAAATTGAGATGCTATGAAGCAGCAGGTGGCTTGGGGCAGCTCCATGCCCCCAGCGCCCCATGCAAGATCAGACCTGGATCTCCTCAAGGGCCAGATCTGGCCTGTGGGCTATAGATTGCCAACCCCTGAGTTGGAAGCTTTAAAAGGAAAAGACTGGCCTGGGGAAGAAGAACCCAAAAAACTTATTTGCAGGGAGGAAGAGGAATATCAAGCGTAACAGCAAAGCCATGAACTCTGCTAACTAGATGCTCCTTCTCTCTAGTTACCAGCAGATGGAGTAGAATCAAGAAAAGGAAAGTGAGATAAGCACAGACACCTGGGGAGGAGAGCTGGCTAGGGCAGAGCAGGAAATGCAAGCAACATTGCACCTGGGACAAGGGAAAAGTATGAGCTTGTTATATCTACAAAAAGCCTTGCCTTTCACTTTACTAAAGACAATTCATATAAGATTCAGTTTCTTACGTGCAGCCATTTTTAATTGTCCCAGTACATTAAATTTTTCAAATGTTTTTCTGTCAGAAAGGTTTTCTTTCCTTTTTCATAATGCCATAAAATAGTGAAAGAATGTTACTATACTTTTCCAGAACCTTAACCTTCAATCAGAAGCCAAGTATTGGAAATTTCCGGTGAAAATTTCCATGTTTTACTTGTGCCTTTTTCACCCAATACTAAGAAAGAACTTATGAGGATAATGATTTTTGAGAAATTATGAATATGTGACTATACTTTGATACTCTTAAATTAAGCTGATTAGCAGTCAGTGCTGTAAAAAAAATCTTGTGTTTTCCTCTTTGTAGATTGTTGCAACTGAAAAAGACATTACACCACCAAGTTTGGTAGTCCCAGAGCCCCGAGAAGATGGCCTGGATCATAGCATTGCAGATCACATAGTCTCTATCCTTCCTTCACTTGTCCTTCCTGAGAGTGGAAAAAAGGTTTGTATTGTCTTTTTATTTTCAGAGCTCTTGATAGATCAATAAATCTGGTTTGGGTTGAAGCATTGTTACAGCCATGATGCACCACTGGCAGCATTGGCAGTGCTTTTTTCAGGGAGTGCACTGCCAAGCTCAGGGGGTGCATGTGCACCTACGTACACCCCCTACACATCACCAGTGAGCCAACTATATGTTTGGGAAAGAAGCTGGATGAAATTTGAGGCAGAAAACACCTTTCTTCAGCTCTGGGAAAGAAGTAGACACCAGCTTTTTAGTCATTGCCTGTGTTTAGTTCATTATTTTTAATGCCCAGTGGGCACATCTACATGTGCAATTAATGTACAGAAAGCTTCTTGTGCAGTAAAATACTGCACAGTAAGCTTTCCCTGACAGCGTGTCTACAATTGCCTCTCACCCTGCCCCCTTGTCTCAGGCAGCTGCCTGCTACTGGGCCCAGCTCCAATTGCAGAGCCCAGGTGGGGACAATGTCCCTTTGCCCCTGCAGCAGGCAGCTCCTGGCCCTGGCTCTGATCTTGGATCTGAGGCTGGGAGCTGCCTGCTGTGAGGACAAAGGGACATTGTCCTCACCTGGGTTCTGTGATTGGAGCTCACTGCTTGGGTTCAAACTGTTCAGGAACTGGGTACAAACTGTTCAGGAAGGACAGGCTGGGGAGAAGAGGAGGAGGAGTTGCACTTTATGTAAAACAGCTATATCATTGCTCAGAGTTCCAGTATGGAACTGGAGATAGGGCTGTTGAGAGTCTCTGGGTTAAGGTGAGAAGGGACAGCAACAAGGGTGATGTCATGGTGGGGGTCTGCTATAGACCACCAGACCAGGAGGGAGTGGTGGATGAAGCTTTCTTCAAACAGCTAGCAGAAGTTTCCCAGTCACAGGCTCTGGTTCTCATGGGGGACTTCACTCACCCTGACATCTGCTGGGAGGGCAATACAGCAGTGTGCAGGCAATTCAGGAAGTTTTTGGAGTGTTGGGGACAACTTCCTGGTGCAAGTGCTGGAACAGCCAACTAGGGGCCATGCTCTTCTTGACCTGGTGCTCACAAACAGGGTAGAATTGGTGGGGAATGTAGTAGTGGATGGCAACTTGGGCAGCAGTGACCATGAGATGATTGAGGTCAGGATCATGAGGAAAGGAAGGATGAAGGGCAGCAGAGTAAGGACCCTTGACTTCAGAAAATCAGACTTCGGCTCACTCGGGGAACTCATGGGCAGGATCCCTTTAGGAAGCCAGGCTGAGGGAGAGAGGAGTCCAGGAGAGCTGGCTATACTTTAAGGAAGCCTTACTGAAAGTGCAGGAACAAAAAATCCGGATACACAGGAAAACTAGCAAGTATGGCAGAAATCCAGTTTGGCTTAGCAGGGAACCTTTCAGTAAATTAAATCACAAAAAGCTTGTAAGAAGTGGAAACTTGAAGAAATAAATAGGGAAGAATATAAGAGTAGTGCTCAGGCATGCGGGGATGAAGTCAGGAAGGCCAGAGTGCAATTGGAATTGCAGCTATCAAGGGATAGGTAACAAGAAGGGTTTCTGCAAGTATGATGGTTGCAAGAGAACAATTAGGGAAAGTGTGGGTCCCTTACTGAATGCGGGAGGCAACATTGTGGCATGTCATCATGAGTGACCTGGAAGATGGCATAGAATACACCCTCAACAAGTCTGCAGATGACACCAACCGGAGGAGTGGGGGGAGTACACTGGAGGGTAGGGCTAGGATTCAGAGTAGCCTAGACAAATTGGAGGATTGGGCCAAATGG